AAGCAGTGGTATCAACGCAGAGTACTGCTCACGTCAGTTGTAAAAATTTTATAATTCCTAAATAGGCATGCACACATGTGCTGAAACGAGGTCAAAAAGTGGCTTCTTTATTGCTCGGTCAATAAAAAATCTCTTGGCAACGCAGACCCTATGGGCTCTTTCATGTTACAAAATAGTCTATGAAAATTCCTTTATCTATCCACTGTTGAGTAAGTTGCCTATCAATTCTCATAAGGGATCACTGCCATGTCAAAAAAGGCAGGTTTGAAGAAAAACGCTGCAAAGTTTTTGACTTCTTGCTTCTTCCTTAACAAGGATTTTCACAGTGTCTGATAGCCAAGGAATTGCTCAACGCAAAGAAACTAAGATTGGAATAAAGTTGCTTTTGAAAGAAGTTATGACATTTTGAGCTCGAAAAATTCAATCGGACAGAACTTATGCAGCAGCTAATATATGCTTGAATATCACTGAAGCAGTGGTATCAACGCAGAGTACTCTATAAAAATCTGTTCTTCTAAATAAATCAAGCTGTGTTTGTTTCCCCAGCAGGACTTGGAATAGCATTTGATGGAGTTAAGGGAGCTCTAAACAATCCGCCTAAGTCGTAACCATTCAAAGTTTGGAGCCAAAATGTGAGTTTTTCAGCTGTCCCAAAATCCCTCTGGTGATCTTTGTGTAAAGAACGGATTGGTCTATTAAATGGTACCCCAAATTTGCTAGGAAAACATCAACAGTTTGATACAATAGGAAAACGTTTCATTTTTGGATCAACTTAATGCTAAACGCAGTAGAAAGATTTATCGATAGTTCTTCGTTAGTGTAGGATTACGGTAAAATTTACCGGCTGACCTTCGGTCACTAAAACCTTCTGCTCCAGAAAACTCTAAAAAATCTAAAAACTCTATTACGAACCCGGCTACACCTTTCACTTATATGTTCAAAGTATTCCAAAAATTGCTTGTTGAAAATCCATTCATACAGATCTTCAAGATTTTAGGAGATTTTATGCGAAGATTGTAATCAGGTTCGTGTTCTGGTAGTCACGAAGGGCTACGATATTCGCATTATGTTAAAGATAGGCCGTTCAAGAGTTGAAAGGTGAGGCGGCTTGGAAACTAGTCATTTTTACATAGTAAAGAATGGCACAGGTCGTACTGAAAACTACAAGAACACAAACTCATGTTGGATGAAAAGCTCACAAGTGGTGAGAACACAGCGTGAGGTGCCGTAATTGCACTATATTTTTGGAAAGGAGCTCGCTACCCTACTTGCAATCTTAAGTAATTATCTGTTTTTTCTAATATAAAGAACAGGTACTCGATTGACATTTGCGTGGTGATTAGTCTGACAAGGGAATGATCAGAAGTCGAAGTGGCCAATCCATACAAGCTGCATACCATTAGATGCAGCATGAAACGCTGACTCTAAATCTGTCTTCCTTATCTGCAGAGCGCTTTTGTGGACGAAATTATAAGCCGTTGAAGGCCATTATTTTGCTAAGAAATTGTGCGTGTAAAGTGCAAACTCGGCCGTACAAAGCCATTCTCGGCTCGATGTTGGACCAAAACATACAACTAGGTCACTTCATATGACCCGTACCTAGAGGTGAGCTGAAAGAGCAATAATTTGCCTAATTTCGCAATTTTTGTATACGGTTTTTTCGCAGTAAAGCTGCTCATAACTTC